GTGTTAAGACTTTAATGCATTCAACGCCCTTGACCACTAGAGCTCTCTATTCCACACAAATGGGTTATCTCACAGCACCTACAATTCTCGCATTCCTCTTCCTCTTCAGAATTACTCTCAGACCCTCAGGTTTTCTCTCTTCCATCAACAACAAGATGTCCTTCAATCAAGATGCTTCTCCATCCAAGAACCATCCAAAATCCTTTGAAGATGCTCCTGGTACTACATCTCCTCAATCTGGAAATTCTCAACAACACTCCCAAGGTAATTCTTCTCCCACTGTTGACGACTTTGCTAGAATGAAAAACAGGGAAGGGTATGCATATGTTGACAGATCCATTAGGGAACTTGTCACAAAAATTCTCCAGAAAGGACGTATTGTGTGTGGTATCTCCACCCCTCTAACATGCATTGATCCATCACCCAGATCTGTTGATGGTCATGGAGAAAATAGTGAGGTTGTGACAGAGGAAGAATCTGAAGACAGTGATGAAGATGTAGAAGAAGTCGACTCCAGCTCTTCTGAGGAGGAAGATTAATGTGTCTGTGTTGGTAGTCTGTTGCTGGGCTCAGACTGGTGAATTGTTGGCTGATGGTCTGTTAGTTTTGGCTAGTCTTTGGTTTTGGTTGGCTGTTTTTGTTGCTCTGCATGAGCTTTGATTTGTAATAATCCTTTACATTTGTGTTTCCAACTGTGTATGATTAATGATAATTCATTAGTTATGATCTAATTTTGTGGCTAAAAAGGGGAGAAGTAGTAATAGAAACAACAGGCTCTGTTGTGTTTAGTTGATGTCCCTCACAGGTGGAAGATGAGATTTGTTGCTGCGCATGTTTGCACTGAGAAGGTTTGCAGGTGTGTTGATGTTATGCTGCTGCTCTGAGTTGTGTTACAAGTGTGCTGATGTGCTGAAGTTGTTGATATGCTGTTGTGAGCAGAATGATGATCATGTGTGTGTTTGGCTATTGCTGTTATATGTGTGTATGTTCCTGGTTGGAACTTAATAGTATCCTAGCTGTTGGTGGAAGTGTGTGTTTCTGCAGGTTGCTTGCAGATAGTGTGTAATTGTGCATCAGTTGAGGGGGAGTATCACAGTATGTTGTACCACATGTTATGACATTTGTAGTTTGAACTAACAGGTGGTATTGTGTGCTGTGGAACAGGTGCTTTTCAAGATGTCATCCTAAATGTCTTGACAGTCTGTATGATTGTGTTTGTGATGGTAGTACAAGCAAGTCTAGTTGATTGGTAGGATTAGCTATTCTGCATGATTAGAAGCGTGTTATGAACTTTTCTGCTGCATACGATCTCTGATATGGTGACAAATTGTTTTAGCCAAAAATTTGCCAAAGGGGGAGTTTGTAGATGTTCTTGATTGACTGCATTTTATGGTAAAACATGGTTGTGTGTGTAGATGTCATGATTGAAGTCATGACATGCTTATGTAGTGTTCTGCAGGGTAAGTTTGGTTAGCTAGAACAAAGTGTATTGGATGTCATACTGAATGTTATGACATCAGGTTGCTGACATTAAGGGCGCATGTTTGTTTTTCTGGTATAATGCATGAGTGAGCTCAGGCTAGATTTCAGGAAATTTTTTAGGGATCTTAGTTATCTCAAGCGAAATGCTAGGCAGTGTTGTGCATAACATGAAATGCCTATGACCTAATTAAAAGAACCCTGATTTATGGAAAAGGGGTTTAACTTGGTTAAACCTAACTTCTGCCACTCAGGCCCAAGATCCGTGTGCTGCATATAAATAGACGAGTGACAATCCTGATTGAAGACGATCTGACTTAGAGATTTTAGAGAGTTTGTGAGTGAAGAATTCTGTTTGTTCTTCACGTGTGTTTTGTGTCTTAGGATTACTTGTGAGCCAAGCAATTATCACCTGGATGATTGCTTTGGACTAGTGTGTTTTAAGTTGTACTTTGTTTCTGTCACTCTAAGCTTTTAAGCACGAGTGATGTGTCTCTTGATTGAAGTTGTGAAGCAAGATCAAGATTTGTTTGAAGTGTGTCTTCATTTTAATCTGTAACTTAAGTGGTTGATATCACTACTGTGATTGAAGGGGAGTGAGTAGGAACTCAGGTCTAGTGTTAGGCTGAAGTTGCATTGGGTAGGTCTTAAGTAAAGAGAGCAAACTGGTAGTTTGGCTTTGAATTAACACTGCTTATAGTGGATTTCCTCCCTGGCTTGGTAGCCCCCAGAGTAGGTGTGATTTGCACCGAACTGGGTCAACAATTCTCTGTGTTATTTACTGCTTTCTTTAAGTGTTTTACTGCTTTCTTTGCCTTTTCTTAAGTTAAGGGCAATTCACATTGTTAAGCCAAGCTTCATTGCCCTTAACTTACTGAGACTTTGCCTTTTCTATAACTATTTATCTTATCAATAGACTTCCTTCTGCTTTAATACAATTCCAGGTTCCCTATTCCTTATTGTTTAACACCACCCTTGACTACTCCTTTCTCAAAGTGTTTGGTTGTGCCTGCTTTCCACTCTTAAGACCCTATTCTAGCCACAAACTTGATTTTAGGTCTCAAGAGTGTGTCTTCCTTGGATATTCCACTTCTTACAAAGGATATATATGTCTATCACCTGGTGGCAGACTTTTTATCTCCAAAGATGTGCTTTTTCATGAGTCCAGATTTCCATATGTGGAACTATTTCCATCCCCACTACAGCTCATACTTAAAATTCTTCCTCATTTGTTTCCCTTTCTCTTTTCCCTCTTACATTCCCATCACTTTCTAATTCTACTTCTTCTCCTAATTCTAATTCTGTCTCCTCTTCCTCTCAGACTATTTCTGCACCCTCCATTCATTCTGGAAAGCTCGTGGCTACTAACAATCTTAATGATGTAAGTACCTCTAACACTACTAGACATTCGACCTCTTCCATTTCAATCTCAGCTGGCAGGTCTCATGTGTCTTCCTCTTCTACTTCACACATTTCTACATCTGATCAGTCTTCCCCTGCTTCTACTGCATCAGACTCCCCTAGCTCCAGTCAATCTGAAGCTTTTCTAGCTAATGTTATTCCTCCCAAGGCAGTTCTAGTTATTATTATTCCCGTTAATAGTCATGCTATGCAGACAAGGGCTAAGTCAGGTTTTTCTCAACTCAGGCTTGACCCTAAATTGCTACTCACACTATCTGAACCCAAAACAGTTAAACATGCTCTCTCTGATGTACAGTGGAAAGCAACAATGCAAGTAGAATATGATGCTCTTATGAACAACAACACATTGACCTTAGTTCCTCTCTTATCTCAAAGGCAGACTATAGGCAGCAAATGGGTGTTTAGAATTACGGAGAATCCTGATGGCACAATTAACAAGTATAAGGCCAAACTTGTGGCCAAAGGTTTTCATCAAAGATATGGGTTTGATTTCAATGAAACTTACTCTCCAGTTGTAAAACCCATCACTATTAGGCTGATTTTGTCCATTGCTCTCACACACAACTGGACCATCCAAAATTTGGATGTGAACAATGCTTTTCTTAATGGTCTGTTGGATGAGGAAGTCTACATGGTCCAACCTAAAGGCTTTGAAAGTGGTAATCCTAATTTGGTATGCAAAATTGATAAGCTCCTAGACAATGGTTTGAAAAGCTTCAAGCTACCTTGGTGAAACTCAACTTTCAGCCTAGTAAGTGTGACCCTTCCTTGTTCATTTACTTATCTCAAGGGCACACTTTCTATCTACTGGTCTATGTAAATGACATTATCATCACTAGCAGCTCAGTTGCTCTTGTGCAATCCATCATCTCCAAACTGAATATGGCTTTCTCTCTCAAACACTTGGGAGACCTAGACTATTTTCTTGGTATTGAAATCAAGAGACTTACTTCTCAATCCTTGCTTCTCACTTAGAAAAAATATATTTAAGATATTCTGCTTAAAACCAACATTCTTGACTCTACACCAGTCAACACCCCTATGCAGTCCACTTGCAAACTTACCAAGACAGGTTCTCTTCCATTACCTGATCCCTTCATGTATAAGTCTGTGTTGGAGCTCTGCAATATGCAACTTTAACAAGGCCTGACATTGTCTATTCAGTAAACAAATTTTTCCAGTTCATGCCTCACCCCTTGAAGGCACACTGAGTTGTTGTCAAAAGAATCATGAGGTACCTCAAAGGCACTCTCTCCTATGGTCTGCAACTTCTTCCCTTACCTCTTGCTACTGCTCCAACCATTCGGGTTTTTTGTGATGCAGATTGGGCATCTGATCTTGATGACAGAAGAAGCACCTCAGGTGCTGCCATTTACTTTGGTCTCAATCTCATTTCCTGGTGGTCTAAGAAGCAGCCTGTTGTGGCCAGGTCTAACACTGAGTCTGAATTCAAAAGTCTTGCTCAAGCTACTACTGATTTTCTCTGAATTCAAACACTCCTCAAAGAACTACACATTCATACTAAAGTCCCTCACATTCTATGCGATAATCAGTCAGCAATGCTACTTGCCCATAATCCTATTATGCACACTAAGACCAAACATATGGAAATTGATCTTTTCTTTGTCAGAGAAAAGGTGTTGGCAAAACATGTCTTGGTTATACATGTGCCTGGTACTGATCAATGGACGGATGTGCTTATTAAAATTTTCATTTAATTAAATAAAGTGAGAATTTAAAAAATAAAACAATCAGATTTTAAAGTCACTACAAAAAATTATGAACAAGGATTTACATGCAAAAACGTCACACAACATTAAATACAAACAAATCTTCTAAAGGTAAACAATTTCCATAAAATTTAACTTAACATAAAATTAAAAACTTTATATCCCATCGGAGCGTGTACGTGGAGCCGTTTCCCATCCAACGGTCATTACGAGCGTTACTCCCTTCTCTCCACTCCAATCCCCAACGGTCATAAAATCCCAAATTCAAATGCTTTCTTCATTCTTCACTTCTTCAACCCAACCAAAAAAATCAGATTCTCAAAATCTCAAAACCTTTCTCCAAAAAGCTTTAACAAAAAGCACTTAATCATGAACAACGAAGTTAAATTCTGGAATAACGCAGCTTTCGACGGCGACGATTTCACAATGAAGACTTCTTGGTCTTCTTCCTCCGATTGCACCAAAGAGAATATAAGCCCAACTGCACTCAATATGAACATCGCCACTTCGAAAAAGAATCGAAAGAAAGCCATAGACGATGAAATCGCTGAAGTTGAATTTGAAATTAAGCGATTAACCTCAAAGCTGGAATATCTTCGTCTTGAAAAAGTCGCGTCTGAAAAGCGCGTTAGTGGAATTGGTACTGGAAGGGTTATAGCTGCGAAGTTCATGGAACCTAAGAAAAACGGTGTCGTTTTCAAAGATGATAATGCTGTGAAAGGAAGCGGAAACGGCGTCGTTTTCAAAGATGCCACGCCGAAGCGGAGCGGTGTCCGAAACAGTGGAGTTTTGAAAGAGGATACGCCGAGGCCGAGGATGAATTGGAGGAGAGGGATGAGTTTAGGTCCGGGGGAAATTGCTGGTAAAATGATAGCTCCGGCGGTTACTCCGGCGACGGTGAATAGGAGGAAATCTTGTTATGGGAAGCCGCAAGAAATTTTGGAAGAATCGAGAAGGAAGACGATATGTAAAGTGAGTTCTGTTGCTGTTGGATCGGTTAAGCGTGAGGTGAAGAAGAAAGAGGAAGAGATTGTTCAACCGAGGAAATTGTTTGAAGGGGAAAAATCAGTGAAGAAAGGGGTGAAACAAGGTAGGGTTGTGGCTAGTAGGTATAATTCTGGGGGTGTTGGTGATGCGAAGAAAAGATCGTTTTCTGAGAATAATAAGGGTTTTGGGAGTGAGATTAGGGTTAAGAAGAGATGGGAGATTCCGATTGAGGAAGTGGATGTGAGTGGTTTTGCGATGTTACCGAAGATTTCCACGTTGAGGTGTATTGATGAGAGTCCTAGAGATTCCGGTGCTGCTAAAAGAGTTGCTGCAATGAACGGGAAGAAGTCTTATTTCTGTGATGATGGAGGAGATAATGTAATGGCGGTGGAGGGAGAAGGTAATGTTTGTCAGGTTTTGAAGTTTGCTGAAGGTGATGATGATGATGATGATGGTAAACAAGGGTAGGGTGATTTTGGAATTTACTGTGTTGAGTTTGGTTGTGTGGAACTGACTATGTTCTGCTTATTCTTGTTTGTTGGGTGTGTGAAAAATTGAAAATTTTAGGCTGTTTTAGATTTTGATTGTTGTTGATTTGAAATAATGACAAGATAGACAAACATGTCTCTTGCTTTGAATTTGTACATTGTTTTGTTTGTTCAATAACTAAAATGTGCATTGAGAGTGTCTTTTACTACGTTTATTTTTTTCTTAGAATACTATATATATTTTGGGGGTTTTGCTATATTGGATTTTGCTGAATATGATGATGACCAAGGGTAATCTTAGAGTTTATGGGGTTTTGTAGGGTTATACTCTTTGATTCTTTGTTTTTTAGGAAGCTAAATGAGGTGAATATACAAGTGGTTGTGGTTTAAATTTGGTTTTAGTGTCTCTTTCTTGTATTCATTCTAGTATTCATTCCTTGTAGGGTTATATTCTTTGACTCTCTAGTGTTCATTCCCGGTATTCATTATAGTATTCATTTTAGTATTCATTCTTTGTAGGGTTATATTCTTTGATTCTCTAGTGTTCATTCCTGGTATTCATTCTAGTATTCATTCCGGTATTCATTCTAGTATTCATTCCTTGTAGGAAGCTAAATGAGGTGAATATACAAGTGGTTGTGGTTTAAATTTGGTTTTAGTGTCTCATTCTAGCATTCGTTCTGGTTGTGGTTTAGATTTAGTTTTAGTGTCTCAATCTAGTATTCATTCTGATTCTTTCTGTCTCAGAAGATTGCATTTTGGGTTTTTATTTCTATTTTGAATATTTGCTGAAGATGATGGTGCTGGCTAACAAACAAGGGTTTGACAATTATTTGGAATTAGTGAAGCTTTTGTGAATTATTTTTTAATTGATGTTGTGGTTATGATGAGGCTGTGGAACTTCCTAGGGTCTGCTTAATTATTTCTTATAGGATCAAACTAGAAGAGCTCAAAAAGTTTGTGCTGGTTTATATTTGTTTTTGTGGAACCAAGGTTTCTGGTATGTTGATCATATTGATGCATGTTTTCATCCTTCCTCTTAGCTTGAATGTCCTTCATTCATGTGGTTCTCTTGATGATGTTGCCTCCGAGTAACTTCCAGTTGTTGCATTGTGTATTGATAATGTGACTGCTTGAGATTGCATTATAGTGAACTCATATCTGTAGTCTAATTTCCCTTATGCTGCTTGATGTATGTCCTTTAATGCTTTAGAGTGTCATGTTGTTGATGAGATATTTGTTGTTGGACCTTCCTTGCTTCAGACTGAAAGTGATGTTTTTATTGTGTCTCCTGATTGTTGTGCTTCTTGAATTATCTGTTGTGCCTGCGATTCCATAGTTGATTTCTGATGTGAGTTGCAGTGCCAATATCAGCCATTTGTTACAATCTGTGTGTCTTCTGTATATTTGTGTTGAATATTAGCACAAAATCAAAACAGATTATGTCATACATCTCATTATGGTTGGATTTAAATTGTGATTAAATAGAAATTAGTATTATTATATTCTTACCTTATTTAGGATTAGCATTTATAGGGAGAATAATTACCCCTATTTCCTAGTGTAATTTATATTATATAAATACCTCATATGTACTGTGTTACAGAATATACAAAATAGAAAAAACATATTTTTATATGGTATCAGTAGCAACAAGAATCCTTTAGGGTTTTTTTGTTTTTGCTTCCGCTCTGTTTATCTTTTTTTAAATCCCACAATGTCTGATACCGAGTCCTCACTAACATTCCTCACCCGAACCTAAATTAGTCCGGACGTACCATGAAAACCACCCTGTTCAGACACAACAATTCGGCTGAACGGTGCTAAATCACTGGCGACAAAAAACAACCAGACAAGGCAGGTGCAGATTATGATACATGGGATGCTGAAAACTCCATGGTCATGACATGGTTAGTCAACTCCATGGATGAAGAGATAGGTGCAAATTATCTCTGTTATGATACTGCAAAAGAACTTTGGGAAGGTGTCTCCCAAATGTACTCTGATTTGGAAAATCAATCCCAAATCTACGAATTAACTCTCAAATTGGGAGAAATTCGGCAAGGTGAAGATTAAGTCACCAAATACTTCAATTGTCTCAAACGTATTTGGTAAGATTTGGACCTTTTCAATGAGTATGAGTGGAAATCACCTGCCGATAGCAAATATTACAAGAAGATGGTGGATGTTACTCGTGTTTTCAAGTTCCTTGCAGGTCTAAATGTTGATTTTGATGAGGTTCGTGGCCGAATTCTAGGCAGAAATCCTATCCCTCCAATTGGTGAAGTCTTTTCAGAAGTACGTCGCGAAGAGAGTCATCGGCAAGTGATGCTTGGCAAAAATACAGCAGCTGTCCCTTCAACAGTTGAAGGATCTGCCTTGGCAATTCCCCATGTCAATCGTAAACCACTTCATAATCAACGAGGTGGAGACAAGACTCATTTATTTTGCGATTACTGTGGGCGCAATCGCCACAGTCGGGAAACTTGCTACAAACTATATGGGCGACCAAATCATGGCAAGGCTGGTAAGTTTGGTGATCGTCCTATGCCTATGGCCAATGAGGTTGATTCATCTCCATGCACGAAGGAGCAAATGGATAACCTTCTTAAGTTTCTAAAGTTCAATTCATCTCTTAATATTCCTACTGGAACTGTGGCACAAACAGGTAAGGATTCTTGGGCACTATCTGCTCACAACCACTCTAACCCTTGGATAATAGATTCAAGGGCATCTGAACACATGACTAATTGCTCTCATCTATTCAGTACATATTATCCTAGTTCAGGTTTTGAAAAAGTTAGGATAGCTGATGGTAGTTATTCAAGTATTGCAGGCAAAGGTAGCATAAAAATTTCAGAGCAAATCACTTTGCAATCTGTTTTACATGTTCCTAAATACGCTTGTAATCTTCTATCTGTTCATAAATTGTCTAAGGACACTAATTGTTCTGCTCTTTTTCGTCCCTCTACTTGTGCTTTTCAGGACCAGAACTCGGGGAAGACGATTGGAACTGCTAGAGAGATGAATGGATTGTACTGCCTTGATGGAATTCAGTTTGACAATAAAGCGTTCTTCGGTTCAAACAGTACAAAATCATCTCCTGTTTCAGATCAAATTATGTTATGGCATAAAAGATTAGGTCACCCTAGTTTTTCATATCTTAAGCATTTGTTTCCTATTTTCCAAAGAAATAAATTCCTCACAATTTCATTGTGAAGCTTGTCACTTAGCTAAAAATCACCGTGTGTCTTTTAAATCAAAAGCCCATTCTGCTTCCAAACCTTTTTATTTAATTCACAGTGATGTTTGAGGTCCTTCAAAAATTAAAACTATGTTTGGAAAAAAATGGTTTGTAACATTTAATCATGATCATACACGACTGTGTTGGGTTTATCTCATGGAGAAAAAAATCAGAAGTTAAACAAAGATTTCAAGATTTTTTTAACATGATTAACAATCAATTTCAAACTAAGATTGGCATTCTAAGGTCTGACAATGACACTGAATATTTCAACAAATATTTAAGTACATTCCTTATAACTAAAGGGATAATTCATCAATCCACTTGTCCCGATACACCGCAACAAAATGGTATTGCTGAAAGAAAAAATAGACATCTCATCGAAGTTACTAGAGCTATTATGTTTTCTATGAATGTACCTAAGTATCTTTGGGGAAATGCTTTATTAACTGCTTGTCACCTCATCAATCGAATGCCATCTCGGGTGTTACAACATGAAAGTCCTGTACAAGTGTTACACAATAATTTTCCTACATCTCGTATTATTACGGATCTTCCCCTTAAAATTTTTGGTTGTCTCTGTTATGTTTACATCCCCAATATTTTTCGTTCTAAGTTGGATCCTAAAGCCGAAAAATGTGTTTTTCTTGGCTATGCTTCCAATAAAAAGGGATACAAATGTTTTAACCCAATTACAAAGAAATTTTTTGAAAGCATGGATATTCACTTTGTTGAAAATCAATCTTTTTTAAAAAATTCTCTTCAGGGGGAGAGTCAATGTAATAATAAAGAAGATAATTTTTGGGAAACTTTGCCTGCTCTAGATGATTTTGTGACTACAAATCACCCAAATGCTAAGATAATAGAATCTGAAATAGGGGGAGAAACACTGATTAAGGATGATAATCCTGAACTTAAAGTGTATGTTCGAAAAAAATTCCACAAAGGTAGTGCAAACCCTATTGTCTCTCCAGTAGAAATCCAATCTGATTTACCAAGTAAAGGTCCTACAGATAATCTGTCTTCTAGTTCTTCATCTAGTAATCCTTCTTACTCATCCAATGATTTATCTGATTTGTCTTTTCCTGATATTAATCTTCCAATTTCTGTGAGAAAAAATATTCCTGACCTCGATGTCCCAATTGCTGAGAGGAAAGGTTCTCGTATGTGCACTAAACATCCTATGTCTAATTACTTGTCATATGACAAACTATCACACACCCACACGGCATATGTGTCTAGGATTTCTAATTTCTTTGTGCCTAGAACTATTCAGGAAGCATTAAGTGATCCGAATTGGAAATTAGCAGTGAAAGAAGAGATGGATGCTCTAAACAAAAATAACACTTGAAGTATCACTGATCTACCACAAGATAAAAAGGCAGTAGGGTGTAAGTGGGTCTTTACAGTGAAATGCAAGGCTGATGGAAGTGTGGAAAGATACAAAGCGAGATTAGTAGCAAAAGGATTTACTCAAACTCATGGTATTGATTACTAAGAGACTTTTGCCCCGGTTGCTAAGATCAATTCTATCAGAATTCTTCTTTCTCTTGCAGTAAATTTCAACTGGAGACTATATCAATATGATGTTAAAAATGACTTATTGAATGGTGAATTACATGAAGAAGTATATATGAGTTTACCTCCTGGATTTTAAAAAAATCTTGGAAGAAACAAAGTATGCAAATTGAAAAAATCCTTATATGGATTGAAACAATCGCCAAGGGCCTGGTTTG